TTGAACAGATTCAGCCTATATTACAACCCCCCATACTGACTCTCTTCCTTTATATCTTCCCATGCTCTATGCTTACAGAAGAGAAATGATTATTCAACAGATACTGCTTTCATTTTTCTTTTCCAAACTTCCCTGACCTTCCATTAGTCATGCTAAGCACAATAAATTTCCATTTGTCATTAAATTCTTCTGTCAGTCTTCTGTTTGCATAGTTAGTTAGCTTTGCCATCACTGCATATTCTGTTAATCTATTTCTCCATTCTTCAGTGGTTGGGGGCTCTGGTGATTTCCATTTAGAAGCTATTGAGATTCTTGCTGCTGTCGGCATATACTTAAATAACTCTTACGTGTTTTTCAAAAGCGTCTCTGGGACAATATTCAAAAGATGTTCTTGGGACTCATAGGAAACTTAATTTTAAAGATTTTCTGCATGTATCATTTTTGAATTTTTGTGTTATTTCATATGTCTACCACATAAGATAGAAAGTCCTGTCCAACTTGTCACATTTCCAACATTTTCCATTATAATTCTTATCTATTGTTCCAATGTCTTTTGGAGTAATAAAACATCTTATACCAATTTTCTCTCAATGCTTGATTATCAGTGAATTTAATATCTTTCTTCCAAAGAGCTTCCCATTGACCTGGTGATATCTCTTTCCAGGATCCTTTTCCCAGATTGTCATATGTTTCTTACCTTGATGGCTTTCAGTATCATAGTGTGATAACAATTTGTAAAGACTTCCCAGTAGATGATCATTTTGCTATTCATTTATTTATAAATATAAATTATAAATAAATAGACAGGCTTATCGACTCTTTTCCTGCTATGCTAGTTTTTAGGGAGTTTTGCGATGGATCACATTTTTAATGCCCTCTCCCCACTCTGCAGTGTGAGTTCTGCTACAAGATTAGGATGGGTCATGTTCTTGGTTCAAATATTCAAAAGGAGATCCTTTGTAACACATGTTTGTTCAAGCTACAATCTTAAGGAGTTCCAGTTGTGAAGCCACACTATGGTAATGCAAACTAAATTAAAAAGTGTTCATCTTACACATTGTGAGGTTAACTTCTGTAGAACCAGAAGCTGTCCCTTTCTGATTTACAGTAATGGATACAGAAGATTTCTACAGCTTTAGGATTAGAAAAATACTGACTTATTTTACATTCTGTTTCCAGTATCCTTTAAATCCTTCCTTGTTTAGACAAGTTTAAAGGGTGGCTCTGGTGCTAGAGGCAATCTCTGAACAATAGTCAGATAAACCAGGCAAGCATTGTCCACGTGTATTATCTTGACTGTCAAAGGACATTTCTGTCCATGTTGGAGAGAGGTGCAGGACCATAAAGATCTTAGCTACATGTGTCTCTTTTTAGAAAAGGTGCTCTAGTACATGGCATTTTTCTCATAGATGCATGGTATTATATTCTGAAATAATCCCAACAGATGTCCTGTAATTCTTTGTTTAACTATGACTGATCTTTGTATTTTGCATCTACAGTTCAAACACACAAAATAACTAAACGCATATACTAGTGTAGGAAAACTACTTATTTTTAACTCCTGATTGATAGTGCCCTCTGTCGCTGAAACACGAATCTTGTTTTTTCTACAACTCTGTAGACATGGTAGCTAAAAGGGACTGAAAGTTTTCATTTTCAGTACAAGCTAGTTTATTCTAAGAAAACATGAGCATATCTCTGACTTCATACATTTGTTTTTTGTATGGGCCAGAAAATTTGAACTGCATGCTTGTTCCAGTTGTAGTAAATGCAAAGCCTATACAGCAGTCATACATCTAGCACAGTTATTTAAATAAAGGTTATCCCACCTTTCTACTAAATGCAATGCTCAAAACACCTAACAGTAAAATACAGGCAAAATAACAGTTCTGAGTAAAAAATAATAATAAACCTTCATGAATTCAAAACACCTCCAGTTAAAATGTATCAAATAAAATATGAATGAAAATAGAAAGACCAACAAAAACACATGAATAAGGTCATAGTCCTGTCCTGTGGTTGGTAGATGTGGTTGGTAGATGTTGTCTGGCCAACAATAGGAAAAAGTGGAGCCCTGCTGGACCTTGGAAAAACCTTCTGATGTCATAGTGAGGACTGTGCCTTTGGAGGACCCCAAACCCTCTCAGCCATCACCTGCTGAGGCTGTTGCAAAAGGGTTCTTGGGAGGAGCAGCAAAGACACTGTTATCTTCTGCCAGGCCCAGGCAATGCCTCAGCCCTTTCTCCTCTGTGAGAAGGCAGAAACATTTGAATGGCCAAAATAAGCCATCTGTGGCATTTCTGAGGGTTACAGGAGCATGGAGAAAATTCTCACCTCCATAATCTTCTGTGTTCAGTTTGGGTGCCTGTAGTCTTCCAGGTTCAGATGGTCTAGGCAGCCATGTAGCATTATACCCTAGAGAATTAACTGCACCCACAAGGCTTAAAGCTTAGATGCCCAAAACCTTTACTTACATACTTCTCTTTCTAGTAACACATCCATGACTGTTTTAATTTAACATATTTAAACAAGACATATGCTGGAAAAGGTTAAAGAAGGAAAAGTATCTGGGGCTGTTCATAGTCCTTTCCAAAGCTGATAGCCTGGGCTCCTTCTTTTCTACAATCCTTCAGGGCACCCAGGTCTTTTAAGTAATCTGAGGAAAAGATAGATGGTGTTGTTAGTCACAACAAAGTCGTGTTAGTCACAACAAAGTCATGTCCGACCCATCGCAACCCCATGGACAACATTCCTCCAGGCCTTCCTGTCTGGAGATAGATAAAGGACTGCTTATTCAAAATAGGTAGAAACCACTGATGAACCATGTATAATTAAAACCTAAGCCTGCGGCTGTTTCTTACCTAGCATGAGGTCTTCTCAGTGTCTTACACTGCTTGATTTTCAAGCAAGTAGATTAGCTTCCCATCTTTATTTTGTATTTGCTAATTCAGGAGCAACCTTGATACTTTGGGAGGTTTGCTAAGACAAAATACAAAACTTGTGCAAACAAAATGCTAAATTGGAAAATCTATAAGAAATGTTTGCTACCAGAAGCATACTTTTAAAATTCCTCATTACCAAAATTTAGATTTAAAGCTGTCTCATCTTAAGGGCTACTTAAACATGTCCTGAAAATTACTGAAAATATGATCACAAATATATGTTGAATGTTCTTCCACATGCATCAGTGCTCATCAGTTACTCATATTGGGCACAATAAATAGGCTTACATCAACCTGAAAGGAGACTTGCTGAATCACAGCAGAACTCAGTCTGGTCAAATGTAGTATTTTTTTTATAGTGTCCAAGTAGATAACTCCAGAATGGCTGCAAGCATTACTAGAAGCAAGTGGCTTAGTTTTTCATTCCTTTGTTTTCTGCAATAAGTGAGTTTCCTGAAGCAAAAAAGAAAAGAACTGGACTCGGGGACAAAACTTCCCTCTCACTCTGCATAGGCAAGCCTCAGCCAAAGGAGACTTGGAATTATGTTAGTACAAAACCATTTAATTGACTTTTTGTTTGTAGGTTCATTTGGCTGATTTGTAGTAGAGTGGACTGAATACAGGGTTATATGGAGTAAAACTATATGCACTGGATGATCCAGCAAATGGAAGGGGAAGGCATCCTTTGCTGATGCTTCTTCCCCCTTTGTACCCAAAACCTGTCCTACAACATTGGAGAAATGTGAGGAACCTATTTTGGATGCGGAAATCCATGGCTTCCCATGGTTCAGCTCCCCAGATTTGGTTCATTGCCTACACACTTGTGATTTGTTCAACCATAACACTAACTAGCTCACAAACTACCATTTGTAAGATGAACCACAAATTTCATGTTTGTTTTATTTTGTTTTTTAACTTCCACTGAAATTTATAGAAATTTGTGTTGGAAAAATACAGTTTTCACAATATGTGTTCAATTTATGCAAATCTCTCTAAAGCACATGTTTGCAGGTACAGTTATCAGCAAAGTGGCTCCTTTTTGCCCAAAAGAACACCTAAAAGCAACATAGATTAGTGATATTTGTGCTGATCTTGCTAATCCACATTTTCAAGTGCTGTTTTGTGTCAAATGGACCCTTTTTTCACAAAACAGCACCCACAAAACACACAGCTCATAGACAGTACACAAGTCCTATTAAAACCTGTAGTTTTCCAGTGCCAGTTTTCCTAAATTCCATCGGTGATTTGAAAGAAAGACAGACAGACAGACAGACAGACAGACAGACAGTTGTCATCCAACTTGCAGATGAAAGTCTACAGAAGAAACTCAACTTGGCATACCTCCAGTCCATCATATTGGATGGGGGTAGGAAATTGGGCAAACTCTGACAAAGCCAGATGTTCCTGTTTCAGTACATCCCTTGTTTCCAGTACATCCCTTCCACAACTCCGGGCTACACCCATGAAGAAGGAATTTGAGAAAGTTGCCTTCCCATTCTCAAGTGAAATCCTAGTTCACTTGGATCCTAGCACCCCCTGTTAACAGAGGGATCTGTTCACAGAAGACCAGTTCTGGATCAAACCCTGAAGAATAGCTAAATAGCAAGCTTCATATGAGTTTCTTCAGGTTCAATCTGTTTTTGCCCATTTTAGTTAGGGACTTGTTGTTAGTTGAGATGTCATGTCCAACCCATCGCGACCCCATGGACAACATTCCTCCAGGCCTTCCTGTCCTTCACCATCCCCTGGGGTCCACTTAAACTCACACCAACTGCTTCAGTGACTCCATCTAGCCACCTCATCCTCTGTCGTCTCTTTCTTCTTTTGCCATCAATTGTTCACAGCATTAGGCTCTTCTCCAGGGAGTCCTTCCTTCTCATTAGGTGGCCAAAGTATTTGAGTTTCAACTTTCATATCTAGCCTTCTAAAGAACAGTCAGGGTTGATCTCCTCTAGGACTGACTGGTTTGATCGCCTTGCAATCCAAGGGACTCGCAGGAGTCTTCTCCAGCAATTTTGGGACTAATGGCTATTTTATTTTCTTCTTTTCCTACTTCAGTTCACAAAAATGTGCAAGACAAATGGTTTGTCAGAAGATATTATATGGAACTGTAAAACATTACTGAGAGAGAGGGATGTTGTGTTAAAACTTATGAACAAATGTGAAGAAATTTCAAATAAACTGAACAAGCAAGTGACAAGAATTACCAGAGATGGAGGAGGTGGCTGGAACATTGAGCAGCCTTCCATTCTGAATCAAAGGTTGGTAGGATTCTTTACTAAATACTAGATCTGAAGAGATGATAAGCTAGAAGCTGATAGAAACTAGGATCCAAGATCCTCAAAGTCTAAATAATGCAACTGGGTTTTAAAAAGTGGCCAACACTGGTGCAGCATCCTTGGCTGTTCTTGAAGGAAAATATATGTGCAGCAAATCCTAAGGGTCTGCTTATACTTTCCTTTTTCTCTTTTTTAGCAGTAGTAGTTTGAATTGCATCTACTATTAGTGTTCAAAGTGATATATATCCATTATCTAGTAATAATGCTTATGACAAGCCTGTAAGGTCTGTCACTATTATTCCATATATGGTAGTTTATTATTTGGGGAGGAAGATGAAGCTAAGAGTATCTAAGTGCCACTTAGCAAGTTTGTAGCGGACTCAAACTGGAAATTATCTGACTCATAACTACCTTTTTTAGTAACTAAACTACATGTCAGATGAAATGCAAGTTTTTATTGAATATGTATTAATAAAAGAGAAGGGTTTTGTCCCTTCACAAGACTCAGTGCAGTTCTTGGAGTGGGGCCTCCTGACAGATAATTTAACATGTAACCAAAGGAGGGATGCACTGTCTTTGTTATTGTATAGTTTTAATTGTTTTGAAAAGAAATTCCTTCATATTTGTATTGTTTACTATTTTGGTCATGTTTTGAATTTTTTAATTGGTTTAATAACTAAAAAAATGCAAGTCACGAGTTTTGAGTTGACAAAAGAACTAACGGTGTAGTCTTTATTCTGTTGTCAGCATGGAGCTTAAGCCATATCAGAAGATTGGTTTAAATTGGCTAGCACTTTTGCATAAGCATTCACTGAATGGTATTTTAGCTGATGAAATGGTAAGTTAAAACCATTACAGTAATTCATAATTATATGACACAGCACAGAGTAATGTAAATTGCCTAAGGCCTGGTCTTAACTACTTGGAAAGATACTGGAATATGAGATGGAAATAGCTACTTCTACTACTGGGGGTTGGGTATTCAGGAGACACTGTCCAAATAACTGATGGCTGGCTATTTAATAGTTTCATTAGCTGAACCATTAAAAATAATGAAAATGGAAGCAGTTAGCAAAGACGTACAAGTGGTTAGTTCTGGTTGAGAACTAGCAAAAGAGCCTCTGCTTCTCTAGAAGGAAACTAGGACACATTTTTTGGTGTTCCAGCAAATATATATCTCTTGGTTTGTAGGAGTAAGAGAGAGAGATGTCTGGATAGATGAGCAGCTGCCATGGGGGCCATAATGCAAAAGAGTTTGACTTGAGACAAGCCAATTAGCCCATAATATTGGAGAGGAAGAGGAGTGATACAGTAGCATTACTATATGGACAAGGTCCTGATGGGGTTTGCAGTTTTAGTTTGTAGGCTACTACTTCAGATAGCATTTTGAAATAACAAAGGCCTGTCCTGGAAGTGACATAGGCAGGCATTCATGGGTGAATGAACAGTAGCTGTCTTTAAGGACCTTATGGTCAAGGCACTTGGCTTGTATGATCACTGTTGCCCACAGTGTCTCGCTTAAGGCATACTGAACGCCATGGTACATGCCAGGCAGGTTTTTAAAAATATTCAGACTATAGCTCCTTTCATCTGAACCTGGGCAAAGGAGATTATGTGAGGGTTAAACTGCCCATGTTCCTGGCTTCAGATGATATAGCAAAGTATAGCTTCAGATAATATAGCAAACCAAATTCAGGATGACTACTACCCGTTGTTGTTGGCTGTTTGATCTTACAAACTGGCCAGATCATAAGGGGAGATGAGACAACCAATCTGGTTGGTTGACAAAACTCTGCAGACAAGAAAGCATTTTTATGCCTGTAGGCAATACAATGCATTCAGTAACTGAAAGGGGGTTAAGTGTGCAGAGGGTTGTAATAGCATGTGGTACATTCTGTGCTAGTTAACAAGAAGAAATTAAATGATGTTAATTAAGTGAGAGCCAGTGTGGTGTAGTGGTTAAGAGCATGGGACTGGGACTTAGATGATCTGGGTTCTAGTCCCCACTCAGTCATGGAGCTAACTGGGTGACTTTGGGCCAGTCACAGACTCTCAGCCCAACCTACCTCACAGGGTTGTTGTTGTGGGGATAAGATGGAGGAGGAGAATGATGTAAGCCGCCTTGAGCCCTTTGTAGGAAAAAGGCAGGGTATAAATCAAAAAATAAATAAATAAATAAATAAATAAAGTTCTTGTGTGGTTCTTAAAGAGTAGAATTTAACAATGTGATTAACATTTTCCAAAACTTAGAGCTATAAAAAGCTTGAGAAATACAATCCAAGAGGAAATATTAACCCAGAGTTCTGTACCATAAAAGTAACTGTATTCTTTTCATTACTCTTAGGGTTTAGGAAAAACCATTCAAGCGATTGCATTTCTGGCATATCTTTACCAAGTGGGCGATATAGGTCCACATTTGATTGTAGTGCCAGCATCAACAATAGGTAAGAAGTTTCACAAACTGTTTCTATGTAGACTGCAGTTTTAAATAAGCTTACAGAGGAGTGAAGTTCATTGAATTCAGTGACACTTACTTCCAAGTAAACATAAAAAAACTGTATGCAATGGCAGGTTACACTTAACACATGTGTTTATGCCCCGCAGTGGCATTTCTGCATAACAGTGCAAAGCTGTGTGCATGCATAATCGAAAGTACTCTTGGCTGAGTTCCACAGAGCTTACTCCCATGTGTCTATAAGAATACAGCCTTATGATGAAATCCTGTGTCTGTTTGGACAGAAAAAAGTCCTACAACTTCCAACACTTTCCAACCATTAATACTCGTAATTGTACCCATAAGCTCTTAATCCTAGTTTAGTCTGAGGGATACTGACTGACCATACAATGCCCAATTAACTTCAGGCAGAGCAGGGTTTTCAGCTTGGTGGTTCCTGGATCAGTGCATTGTGTCCACTAGAGAATGGTGAATCTAATCAAAACAGCATGCTATATTTGTATCTTAATAAAAAGAATTTGAGAACTAATATTTATGCATATTTTAAATTCCCTGTTTTGTAAAGATATATAATTCTTCTTTTAATAGATAACTGGATAAGAGAAGTTAACCTGTGGTGTCCTGAACTCCAAGTCTTATTTTATTATGGTAAGAAATTCTGTTTCTTTTGTGGATGAACATTTGTGGTTAAATATATAACTGGATCATGGGTGTCCGGATGCAGCATGATAAATGACAGTAAACTCCATGATACTTTTTGAAGGGTTTGGTATAAAATATTTGGTGTGTATTTCTATGTAGGCTCTCAAGAAGACAGGAGGCATCTCAGAATGGATATCCATAATAAAGTTGTGGATTTCAATGTGATTGTGACAACGTAAGTATAACTTCTATGAGAAATTTAGTCACCTGACAGTAAAACTTACATGTGTTGATTCAGTTTTGAACATTCCATGAAGAATTTATGATGAAGTTATACAGATGGGAGTAATCTAGTGTTCATTATAGAGGAATGCAATGATCTAACTAAGGGTTGGTTCCAGGGGTTCCTTTCTATGTGTAATAGGTATCTTCTGCCAATGGAAAGGCTATTCTACACGGTGCTACAAAGTTCCCTAAAAAGTGAAATTGAAACAAAATATGTTCTTGAAAACATGATAACTGCTATAGCCCTTAGCCATTATAACACTATGCAAGTATTTCTGCTCACACAAGTCTTTGCAGAACAATTCCAGCAGTTATTTTACTTCTGCCCACAGTTCTTTGAATTCAACCCAGAGTTAAGTAGCTGTTACCTCTAACTGAGTGTAACAAGCAACAACGTGGGAAGTGCTTTATTGCGGTATCAGCATGCCTCCTTGCATATGTATATAAAGTGGTATTTGCTCTCACAATAGGTATAACTGTGCAATTAGCAGTCCAGAAGACCGCAGTCTGTTCCGCCGGATGAAACTTAATTATGCAATCTTTGATGAAGGTCATATGTTAAAAAACATGGGCTCTGTACGCTATCAGCACCTGATGACTATTAACGTAAGACTTTGTCAAAAAAGAAATTGTTTTAAGATACTTGCAGGTTGTATTCAGATTCTTGTTCTGCACAGTTAAGCTGCAATCCTGTGTACTTTCACCTGGTTAAATTCTATTAGCATGTGGTAGTACTTCTGAGTAATCCCATATAAGACTATTGTATATAAAAAGTAAGCCAAGAGTATTAGGAAACATACTGGTCAAACTCTATGAACAACAGGGAATTGAAGTTGGATTGAAGTTTAGATCTATTATTTGAAACACTAAACTATCATTGCAGGTATTAGTTTCATATCTGAGAAAACAGTTAATCTTTGATGTCTTGATATTATACGAATCTGTACCCTGAATCAGGAGGGGGTCCCCAAGATGGCCTGAAACTTCTATGAGCCTTTATCATTAGCTGTGTTGGGAGGTGTAGGCCAAAACATCTGGAGGACCACCATTTGCCCACCCCACTCTATTTTCTGTTAGCTAGAATTGGTCAGAATAATTGCATGCTCTGTCATGGCAGTTATATCAAATTCTGTCTCATAAGATACAGAAAAATGTGGAGACACTTGCATTTCCTGTACAAGCTTACACAGCTAAGCACTGAGAAAGCCTGTTTAAGTAACTAGTTGATCATGGTCAAAGAGAGTCGGGTCAAGGAAAGAAACTGACAGGCTGTGGGGGAATCCTTGTAGGCCTTATCAGGTCTGTGGGCTGGAGTTTCCCCATCTCTGGCTTATGGAGTATGCGGGATAATTGGTTTTTCCTCTTGCCTGAATCACCATTTTGGGGTTCCTCAATATGCTAGTTTAAAAAAAAGTAGATTTCACAAACCTGACATCTACCCACACCCCAGTTTGGGGGAACAAGCCACATACATATATCACAGTTTCAAGTTAGCTTGTTTCCTTAAACCATCATTAAGACTAACCACAGTTTGTCTGTGTCTGAATATAATGCTAAACTAAAGTTATAGAGGATGAGACACAAGAGAAGCCTGATGAGGGTGAGGATCCATGTAACATAAAATCATACATTATATCACAATGAAACTGCAGCTGTCCCTTCCTTCAAGTAAAACTAGACAGTGTTACCAAGAAACTGGCTAATTGTTTTTTAAGATGTAAGTGGCTGAAAGTGTAGCATTTTGCACTAGTGAGATGATTCTACTTTTGTAGTATTGTTTTGAAGAGACTAGTAATCTCATCCTGTAAGTACTGACCATTTTTCTTTATTTTTGAATTCTGGAATAGGCAAAAAACCGTTTGCTGCTAACAGGAACTCCAGTTCAGAACAATCTTCTAGAACTTATGTCACTCTTGAATTTTGTGATGCCACACATGTTCAGTAGTAGTACCAGTGAAATTCGGAGAATATTCTCTTCTAAAGCAGTAAGTATACTTCAAATGTGGTTGTATTGTTCAAAAGTGCAGGTTAAGTTCATACATGGGTTTTCATAATGAAAATTGTTTTACATCTTATCCTAACAGATAACCACAAAAATGTTTCTGGAAAGTTACCATGCAATCCACAAACTATTTTCTTGCTATGTGTGGCTACACTATACTAAATATTCTAGAAATCACAGCTAATGCATCACAGTCTTTTTTGGGTTGAAACATGTACTGTTGGAAACATAACAGTCCATTGATATAACTGGTGCCATTCTCATGTTAACATTCATTGAATGAAATATACTTCATTCTTTTGATTTTTTTTCACCCTAGAAAGCATCCGAGGAACATAGTATATACGAAAAGGAGAGAATTGTACATGCCAAGCAGATAATAAAACCATTTATCCTGAGAAGAGTAAAAGAAGAGGTATGTCTTAATTTTAACCTCTGCTAACTGCATTAGGTTACAGTGTAAACTAATCAGTAGAAACTAAGGTATCTTAAATAAGAATAATTACTTTTATTATATTATATTTATATCTTTCCTTTTTACCTCTTGTGAAGAACCCAAGGTGCCTTGCACGATCCTTTCCATTTTATCCCCACAATAACATCCCTATGCAGTCAGTCAGGCTGAGAGCAGGGCCAGAGTCACATGATGAGCTTCATGGCACAGTGGAGACTAGAACCCAGCTCTCCAGAGCCCCCAGTCCAGCTCTAGCCACCACACTCCATATGTGACACTAGTTCCCAAGAGAGTGTGGTAGAATCCAGGTGTATAATCTCCAGATAAATTAAAATTTTGTTTTGGTCCACCAGGTCTTGAAACAATTACCTCCCAAAAAAGATATAGTTGAATGGTGTGAAATGTCTGAAAAACAAGAACAACTATACCAGGATCTGTTCAGCTGCTTAAAAAAATCTATTGACAGTCAAGGTAGGTGCTTGCTTAAATTTTCTCACGTTTCTTTCCCATAGTACTAAACAGAAATTCTGAGCTGTTTTGGATTTGTATGTCACTTAAATTGATTACGGGTTTTTCTTCAACACTTTTGCAGGCAGCAGTCTACTTCAGTGGATATTTTCATGTTGTAATATTTGTTTGTTTTTTTCATAGAAAAGAATACAGAAATGGGCAATGTAATGATGCAGCTAAGAAAAATGGCCAACCATCCTCTGTTACACCGCCAATATTATACCTCTGAAAAACTGAGAGTGATGTCAAAACTCATGCTAAAGGTAAGATGTTGTTCTGAAATAATGTGGCAAGTTCTTAATATTTTTCCACTTTATCATATGTACTTGTATTTTCACCAAATAGCCACTCTTCTGCTGCATGTGCAACATTATTCAAATTTTGATTATTAAAACATGTAAACAACTAAATAGGTCAGGCTTCCTGAGGAGAAAATGCTTTAAACTAAAATTGGGGTACAAATTGTGGGATAAAAGAAAATAAAGTCCCAGGTTTCGATGATCCATCCACAGTTGGCATTATCATGAATTGATGGGAAATCACAGAGAATGATTGCACAAGACACAGGACTCGTTCACGCATCCTAGTTGCTTTGCCTCACAGGGCTTGGTCCAGCCAAGGCCCCCCAGTTTAAATTAGAGGATAATCCAAGAGACAAACCCTCTTGTGTGAAAGACAATAGGTCATTTGTTGACTGCAGAGTTGGAATATGGATGCAGCTTATTAAGAAACAAAGATAAGACTTGCCCAGATTTCCCTTGTCAAAAATGAATTGTCACAGGGCTTCTTAATATGATGTACATAACTCTTGGAGTACTGGTTGCTCTGACACTGGTGCACTGTTCATTCCAAACCAAAACCCAAAATGCAGACTAGCAAGCTAACAATGTTCTAAACTCTACAAGTGCCAGAAGCTGTGAGAAGCTGCCAATGGGAAAAAGGAGGGAGGGCAAGAGAGTCCCTGCAATCCCATTTAAACTCAGTAGATGGGTATATAAAAATACTTACCTCAAACAAATGTCCTTTGCCTTCATGACTACATTGAATGGATGCTGTGAACAGCTGGTGCTGTCCTTGTCACAAGGTCTTCCGGTTTTTAATACCCAATACAATTGTAAAACAGTCTCCCCAGCCTAGTGCTTTCCCTGTGCTTTTGGATACCAGCACTGCTAGCTGTTGGTCATGCTATCTGAGTCTGATGTGAAATCCAAAGCATCTGAAAGGCATCAGATTGGAGCAGGCAGTTATAAAGGCACACTCAATACAACATGAGAGAGCTGCAGCAAGTCTTGAGTATGCACATTTGTTCATGTTGTCCCCCCCCCCCCCCCCCCACTCAAGCAAGAAGAGGAGCTTGGAAGCTTCAATTTTTAAGGCCTAACTACATCTAAGTTAATTATATAGCGTGTGCAATTAACAATTAACAGTACATGTCAGGATTTAAAGAATTTAAACCTAGGAATCAGGACTGCTGTATTCATGGACGGGAGATTTAAGAAACTGAAAAGTCAACTGTTAATATTAACTGCTTTTCAGTTTTCACAAACTGGCTTCATCACAATGTGTGCACAAAATCCAGACAAAAATGAATTGTAACGTTCTTTGCAATTCCTCAATGACTTGCTTCATTTGCTACCTTTTTGTTTCAGGAGCCTACACACTGTGAAGCAAACCCTGACCTTATATTTGAAGATATGTCTGTGATGACAGATTATGAATTGCATTTGCTTTGTAAACAGTACACAAATATTCATGATTTCAGACTGGAGATGGACCTGATTTTGGATTCAGGAAAATTTAGAACACTGACACACATTTTGTCAGACTTCAAAGAAAAGGTTTAATCTTCAGATATATTTTGGATTTCCTACAGTGTGCATGTCCAATACATAATGAAATGGTCTTAACTAGAACTTGAATGAAAGGCTGATTTCATAAAAGTCTTTAGTAAACCACTGGAGTATCTAATTTGAATGAGGGAAGCCGTGCTCCAAATTCATGGCTCTGAAAAGGTTATTGGGAAATACAGTGGACACAGTATGAACCAGGATTGTGGGATCAGCAATTATTTATAAATACTTGTTTTTTATGTATTTATTATATCTGTAGACCCCTTTTTTCAGTAGTAATCCCAAGGTGGCTCACTGGCTGGCTGGCTTGCTCATTTAATTAATTTCTGTGCCACGTTACAGGCAAAGTTCTCTGGACAGTTTATAATCATGTTCTTCTATTTTATCTTCACAATACCACTGTGAGGTAGGCTAGGCTAAACGGGAATGAAAAACCAGATCATCTGAGTGCCAGTCCAGCACCCAAAACGAATATGCCATATTGGCTTTTCTGTTCCTTTCCTTCACCCTGCTCTAGCGTTATCCTAGGTTAAAATTCCTGCCTGGTCCCAATTTACCTATAGGTAGTATAGCATATGCATAGGGACTCTTCATCGGGTAGGTGCTTAATAGGTTTGTTATGCTAAACCAACAGGCCAGTTTTCTTAAGGAAAGGGAAGAATGCATAGATAACAAAAATGAAAAGTATACAATTTTCTTTCCCCCATTAGGGTGACAGAGTTGTCCTCTTTAGCCAGTTTACAATGATGCTAGATATACTAGAGCTTCTTCTGAAACATCAGCAGCATAGATACCTTAGACTGGATGGAAAGACACAAATTGCTGACAGGTAAGTAAAATGTATATGATAGGAGCACCGTTACTAGATGCAACTAATGTTCATTCTTGTCCCATTCGAATCTGACGCTGAGTATGTACTGATAGTGAGGTAGGAACTATAGAACACCTTGAGTTATTTAAAAAAAACTATTAAAATAAGCTGGGAACCAATTTAAATAAAGGTATCCCATGTCATATGCTTTAAAATTGTTGAATAAAGTTGCTATATAATTCCACACCACAGTTTCTTCCCTTAAATATAGAGCACTAGAGAAATATCCATAAAGTGTAAAGCAATGATATTGACATAAGGAATTGCATAATTCACAGTTGATACAAATATAGCTCAATAGATTTAGTGGCAATAAGAAAATAAATCATTAACAGTCAAGATGATTTAGAAGTTTACAGCAAATTTGCTCACTCACCCAAACATTTTGCCTTCAGTGACTGGTTGCTGAATATTTGCGCTGTTTACTGTGCTTAGTGCTGTGGCTAGTAAGTGGACATGCCCGTATGCCTCCCTTTTCAGTATGACCCACTTTTGAAGAGTTGCTTGCTGATAAATGCGTGGTTCTCTTTCATTGTAGGATACATCTGATAGACGAATTTAATTCAGATATGGGTATCTTTGTCTTCTTGCTGTCAACTAAAGCTGGAGGTCTTGGGATTAATCTGACCTCAGCCAATGTGGTTATCCTTCATGACATTGACTGCAACCCTTACAATGACAAGCAGGCTGAAGACCGATGCCACAGAGTAGGACAAACTAGGTATATTTTGGTTTTTTTATGAGGACAGACTATAATGATCAAACACAGTGCTGATTCTGTTTTGCTGACAAGTATTAAATTGTCTGTGGAATTTAAAACAGAAAGGTTCAGTGTATTTATGTGGCACAGTACAGAATAAAACTTGCTTTCTTCCTTTTCTATTTTATCAAGCTGGTCCCAAGATACAGTGGTTCCTCAGTTCACTAATGCCTCAGTTCATGACCAAATCGGGTCATGAACAGAAATTCAAAGAAAAATTGCCTCGGTTCATGAACTCCGCATTGGGGGATGATCACGATCATACCCATCTCACCCCCCCCCCCCCCACCCCACCCCCAATCGCAGCCATTTCCCCCTCTGCCAGCACAATCACTATCGCACAATTATGGTTTGGACTTTCCCTCCAAACAATAACCTCCCCCCCCAGCTAGGTTAGTGTTCTCTACTGTACTGTACTTTGTTACTTTGTTTCAAATTTTTGTGATTAAAAACGGTTTACAGAATGGATTAACCTTATTTACATTGAACCTTATGAGAAAATTTGACTTGGGTCACGACCAATTTGGGACATGACCAGAGTCCTGGAACAGATTAAATTTGTGAGCCAAAGTACCACTGTATGTGAGAAAGCAGCTGCATATGCACCCCGATTGCCATGGAACTTTCTGAATGCAGCAGCACTTACTGCATCTCACTAACATGCTTCTTATGCCCATGAAAGGATGGGTCAGTTCTGTAGCACTTATGTCATATGAATGGCATGACTGAGGAAACCTCTGGGCACAGGTGCAGATACCAAGGCTTGACCCTTGCAAACTGCAGGCTCCTGGTTAAAATACCTCTTCACCTGATGACTTACCTCTCAGTGACCAAAACCTGAATACATGAAGTGTCTCCGCTGAAAGTGGTTGTTGAATGGATATATGGTCCCTGGACCAGTTTGCATGTCACAACTATCTTGTTGTTGTTTTAAACTGGGTCAGCATGAATGAGCAGGAATGAGTGTACTGACTTCTGGATGCTCTGATCTCTCCTGCTGCAGATGTGAGAAGTTAAGTAGCCCAGGGACACTTTATCCCTAGCTAATTTTTGTGTCGCCTAAACATGGAATTGTGGACTTTTGGTGGGAGACAACTCAGAACTCATAAAAACATAAGAACCATGCTGGATCAGTCCAGGGTCCATCTAGTCCAGCAGTCTGTTCACACAGTGGCTAACCAGCTGCCTGCAAGACACTCCCAAGCATGACATGAGTAGAACAACACCCTCCCCCCATGTTTCCCCATAACTGCTATGGATAGGCCTCTGAGAGGTAGCACAAGAGCCATCAGGATTAATAGCCGTGGATGCTCTTATCCTTCATGAAGTCATCCAAGTTGGTGGCCATCACTGCATCTTATGGAAGCAGATTCCATAGTTTGATTATGCACTGTGTGATGAAGTACATCTTTTTGTGTCCTGAAAATCCTATCAGTCACAGGTTGTTGTATTGCAAGAAAGGAAGAAATGTCTCCAATATATTCAGAATATTGTATGCCTCTTTTGCATTGCATTTCCTTTTCCTCACTGTTTTTCTAAGCTAAACAGTCCCAACTTGTGTGTCTTTAGCTTAAGTGGCTGGGAACCAGCAAGTGTGCTTGCTCCTGCTTGTTCACCTAGGTCACGGGTCGGCAACCCACAGCTCCGGAGCCGCATATGGCTCTTGAGTCCCTCTGCTGCAGCTCCGTCACTCAAAACACGCTCCGTCACTCAAAACACGCGCGGGCACAGCCACTGATCTGCTTAAAGCTCCACTCAGGAATGCAGAACTAGCTAGTTAATAGCTAGTTAAGTAAATCGTTACATTCCTCTGCTAAACAATCTTCCTGCAGGCTCTCATGTTGCACAAAACGCTGCTGAAAGGATTCTCTTTGTCCCAATGTAACCTCCTTCATCTGAATGTTGATGAAGCTGCACTTGGGACCTGTCACAATTCACAGCACTTGACTGTTTATCTGCTAATCAGTCACTAAACACACCCATATCTCTGGCTGATCTGCGGATCCCCCACCAATTTACAGATCTTGCACCAATTTACTGAGTCCCCCCCCCCGCACCCCCATAGGCCAACCATGGATAAATCGAAGAAAAGTTTCTGAAGAAAACCAAACGTTTAATGATACATGGGTAGTTTCATTTGCTTTTACTGCTGATGAACTTATGGGGTTTGCTGTTTAATGCATGCAGCCCTTTAGCACTGACTTTGACTCTTCAGGAAGCTGTTCTCCTATTCAAAATATATGAAAGGAGTCCTACTAGTTTATAATGTAAGATTAAAAATAACAGTTTTTAGTTACTGAACAAGAGCTGCAGCTAAATCATAATGAAGATACACATAGCATTAAGGTAAAAAACAATATATGCAGTGTTATCTTCATTTTAGATGTCAAAAGGGTTTTCCAGCTCCCGGTGTTTTCTTTTGTGGGGGAAATGGGTCCAAATGGCTCTTTGAGTGTTAAAGGTTGCCAACCCCTGACCTAGGTGGTTGTGTCATGCAAACCAGGTCCACATCTGTGAAAGTACACGCACAAATGAGCTACCTCAGATCAAACTCATCCTTAAAACTTAACTGGCACTGTGTGGCAATGTGTGTGTTTGCTCAGTGGTTTCACAACTGATATATTGATGTACTTTTTGTCTAGTATGGTATGTATAAGATGAGGTCCTCACCCTCTCTATAACAACAGTATTAGCAGTAGTGTTGAAGTACTGTTTCCTGTAAAGGCATGTGGGATTTAAGCGGAAATATTCTTATGCCTAAATCAGGAATATTGACTTACAGTATTTTATGAGTAAACTTATTATTTTTCTGTGTTTTTAGAGAAGTGAAAGTTATAAGGCTTATAAGTAAAGGAACTATAGAAGAATCGATGCTCAAAATCAGTCAACAAAAGTTAAAACTAGAACAAGACATGACAGCAGCAGATACAGGTAAGCTTTTGTAAGACAGTTTTGCATGTGTCGCATTGTAAGAAGCAGCTCTGGGTCTAAAACTATGTGAAACAGAAGAGAGTTAGTGTTTATGTTCCTTATTCCAGAAGATTAATGGCAGAGGGAAATAAAGGTCAGGTGGTTAGTGGTCAGGTGCAGATAGTTTTTTTATGTAGAGATTTTAAATGCAGCAGAATCTTCCATTCAACTAGAACATACTTTAGTTCATTTGAAGCATTAACAACCAGTGTAGTGGCAGATAAATCTCACACCTGAATGGATGAGGGAGAAAGAACTCATGCATTTCTCCTTCCCAGATAGGCTTTTAAAACATTCTGCGAGAAAATCCTAAAAGACAAGGATGTAATACAGAAAACAAACAGTGGAACAATGCAGACTGTTGCTGTTTGGAGTGAATGCTCAGGCTGTGAATTGCATGATATAGAATGTCCTGCATTGTTTAGTGAGGAGTTCTTGGTCAATTTGTTTGCTACTCTTTTCTAAAGGCAGAACTGGGTTGGAGCATATGCAGCAAAGCTAATCTGTCCCCTGTTGTTTTGCCTGATATGATTTCTTGGCACTGTATCTCCCTGGTCAAAATCCAAATAACTGTGCAGCAACTTCTCTGCTCCTAAGTGGTGTTTCTCAGATAACGTACCATACTCTTACTGTGTTGCATAGTGAACCACTGCAGCTACACAGCAGCTTGTGACATTAAAAATAATTCTGTGGTTCTTATAGCACATCACAGTTGAGTCCAATATACTAGCAGGCGGAACAGCAACAATTGTGCAAAGACCATAGATGCACTTAGAGTACACAGACTGCGCTTGCATCAGTGGCTTACAAGTACAGGCCAAGCATCCCTTGCATCCCCTACTCCATCTTTTATTCATGTAACATCTGTATTGACCCAAAATAACCAGTTTTCCCTGCTGGGAAGCTAGCGAGGTTGCAGAAAGGGCTGCTTCTTTGCTTTAGTTGTCTATGCTATAAATATTAGATTGCATGAAATGTTGCCTACATGTGGAATTCTAATGCATTCCTTTTATTCTGCAGGAGAAGAAGGGGCCATTCCAGCAGATATAGCAACATTATTAAAAACGTCATTAGGTCTCTAATAGAATAAAGAAAATCATTGTAGATATCTTTTTTATTTGAGGAAAAATGAAACGTGGTGCTTCAAGAACTTTTTGTTATTAAATACATTTGTATGGACATTTATAACTTTTTGTAACTTCCTTGTTGTATTGCTCATGGCATAGTTCTCTTGCCCAACCCTCACTCCACTACTGGTACTCTGAAGCAAAATGTAGAGTTGCCACAAAAATGTAGTGCATAAAATGCCACATAAGCTATCTTGCCAAGGCAGTTTTTAAATGGGGACCCTAGTTTTAACAGAACTGCTAATGCTTAAAATTGTTCCATATTTTTGTAATTATTTCTACCTCCAAATATATATATAGAACCTGTCTATTTCACTGGATGTGTTTTTTTTACATGTGCCTTATTTGAAATGCCCATATTTGTTGTCTCTCAGCTTGTTTTTATTTGAAGTACTGTAATGTTTTGTATCAAATTGTTCACATAATAAAAGTTGGTCCTTAACAGATTGTGTTTTGCTTAATGGTTATTTGAAATGCAGGAAGGGGGTGACAAAAGTTTAAGCTCCTCGAATTTAATTTGTATTACTTATGGTAGCATTGCATTGAGGCTTTCTGAATAGTGGCTGTGGTTCTAGGAATTCTCTGTCCAAGTACTACCTGAGTTCAAGCTTTGATAGTTTCTAGCAAATAGTAGATAGCAAGCATTTTCTTCAGAAAGCTCTGAGGATCATGAATTATTATATTTTAAAGCTTTTTGTTTTAATGTTTTAAGCAGTTTTATCCAACTAGTTTGAGTATATGGAATATATATTAAATTTGCAAACATCATGCATTTTTGCTAAGGCATAAATATATGGTTTCATGAATAGATAGTCACCTGAATTTTATGGGAGCAGGCAAGTTAATTATAATTTAATTGCTTAAAATGCTGGGTGTTGTGCATAATGTATAACAGGGGCAGGCCATACCCATTGGGCTTGCAACCTTACAGAAAATAATAAAGTGTTACCTGCTTCCTCTCTTTTCCCTGTCTTGGAGTGGTGGATCATTCTTTCTGTGTCTCTTTCTCCCTCTGTCTCCCCCAAGTCCTTACAGTTGCTTTTTTCAGGTTTCTGGTTTATTCTATTCAGTGTACATACAGGGTGGAGGGGAGTAGGCCAGGAAGAATTCAGGGCCTACTGCAGCTGGGCTCACATAGCCTGACCCACTCCATAGGGCCGTTTGCCATCCACTGCCCTGTGGGAAGAAATCCAGGGGAAACAAGGCAGTACATGAGGGTAACAGCAGACACTGCTCCTGCTCTTGCTGGATTCTCCATGCCTACAGGGTCTTCTTTGGGTTAAGGCAGGAGCCTCCGGCCTGAGACCCCGGAGAACTGCTGCCAGCGGTGCCAAAGTTCATGGGATTGAAGTGCTTGGATTTTATTTCTTTATTTTGCTTAGTGAGGAAGATGGCATCACCTGACGCCATTCACCCCTATTTCCACAGAGTTTAAATACAATAGCCACAATAGCTTGAAGGGGAGTGGTAGATTTTCCCAGCGACAATCTATTTTTGTGAGCTGTCCCTATTAAAATGCACGGTATTTTGTGCAGATGAAAATAACTAGAACTGGTTGTTGATCTGGATCAACACAACTGGACTCTTCTTGGGGGAACTCTCCTTGCCTATTCGTACAGTTTGGATGACAGCCTTCACTTCAGAATTTACCAGTGCACCATGTCAGCTTCCTATCTCCCAAAGTCACAATTAGATATAGTTGCTCATTTATTGCCTTTTAGGTTAACAAGCTGGGCTCATGATAGGGTGGTTCAAAAAATAGAAAGCTCTATTTGACTTAGTGGATGAGTGAAACCATGGAACAGGTCAGGATGGAGGAATACTGCTAAAATGTAGTAATTCTGCTCAAATTTAATTTTCCTCTGCTTCACTGTAGTTTACTGGAATACAAACAGCTGCACAGGAAGATCTCCATGTATTCACCAGGCAAACAGATGATTGGAACAATAGATTAGAGAAGACTTCAAAGGAGTTGAGAAACTAGCAGTATAAGCATCCTCATTTCTTCCCAGAAGGTGGCAGCAATAGAACTGAAAGAAAAGTTGTAGGAGGTCAAAGGCAGCAGGTGCAATTGATTTGCAAAAGGAAAGAATGACTGAATTGGGATTTAAAAAAAAAACATGCATAGGCTGTATCTTTGAAGAAAAATAAGCACAACAGCCAGCCACAACTTTGTTTAATGTTACTTAAGCAAATTGACCTCACAGATACGGTTGGATATGGGCTGGAATAGAAAAGACTCATTCAAAAATATTCATCAATGGAAAGCAGGGGAGCCAATCTGGTGAAGCTGTCCATGAGCATCGTGCTGCAAGGATTCTCCCTATGTTATCTGAGGTTGTCAGGCATAATATGTCACAAATACAGCAAGATCCACATGCCTCCCAAAAAAGAACAGCCGAAATTCCACTTCAGCAAAAGCCAACATCTCGTGTGTCCTCAGATGGACAGGAAGTAGTCCACTTAGAGCAAGCAATGCACACACAAAGACTGCACAACAGACAGCAAGAACCTCGGGTGCAGCACTTCCATTTTCAAAAAGTTTACCTAAAGTGCTGCTTCTTGTATTTCTGCTGTTTGCTTTGCACAGGGCAATGAACACTTGTTTAGTTGTTGGTCCAGCACAATTTTAACAGTTCAGTTACTGCAATGTATTATTTGTAGTACAAATATAATGCAGTTTATAATTGCAGTGTTCTGCTGTAAGCTGCTTTGTGTGCATTGACTTCAGAAAGGCAAGGTACATGAATTTCACTCTGATCTTAGGCCAACTGATCTCTTTGTCTCAGCCTACCTCAAAAGTTTATGGTGAGCATAAAAGTGGGAAGAGAATTCTGAAACTTGAAACCACAGAAATGAAGTGCTGTCTGGGGCAATTTCCTTATGAGAGGTTAGCTGGGGGACTACAACCACCAGCATCCCCCAGCCAAGAGAAAAGGTGGCTCAGCACCATGTGGAGGTACTGATGCATCCTTCCATTTTCTTATCAATATCTAACAGTCCATGAGAAATATGGGGTTATGAAATAAGTCTAAAAGTCTTGTGCATTTGCCATCATAAATTTGTTAGTCTTTGAGATCTCACAAGATACGGTTACATTTGCTATGAAACCCGACAGCTTTCTTACAGAATTAGTTGGTTTTTTTTAAAATATGCACAATAAGAATACTGTCTGCTCCTGTCAGAGATCCGATGGTTCCCCAGGACCACATATAGCATGAGCAGAGCCATTCTAAGGACTGTTTACATTGTCTGAGTCATAGGATACTGGGGATTTTCATCCCTGAGATCCTAGTGCTCCAAGCTGAAGATAGTCACTCCCTCCCAGCCACCACAGAAAACATCACTGTGGCTCTGGTGCATGAGCTCAGCCCCTGCATTGCAAGTCCTTCAGAGAAGCTGTGATGCTCTTATGGTGGAAAAGTGGTAGAGGAGGCAAGCAACATTGCCTCTCTCACTTCTTCAGGGCAGTCACCTGGCAAGCCACAGGATTCCTGGAAGCCTCCAAGATCGGAAGCTTCCAAGCAAGTGGACAGCAATCCAGTAGGATTGTGCCCTAAGCTCTAAGTACCTTTCTTCTTTATATGGCCAAACACATGTTTGGTGTTTTTCTGCCAGATGTCTCCATTGTGAGTTCTACGCAGGACACAGAAGGGGTTACAAAAATGATACGCACACCACCTGATTAAATTTCCCATTGCTATTACAGTAATTTCTTCTTTTCCCTTTAGTTGCCGCTGTTGCTTTCCTCTTCACTGTCCAATTGACAAGCTTTTTCCTTCCATTCAATCTGCTCATAATTTTGATCCTCGCTCCAGCTGTGCGTTGCTGTGCTTCTCACGCACGTACACACTCCGCTTTTGTCTACATTAAAGCTGTTTAACCATGTGGGCAGAGGTTAAGCTGGCAGAAGTCACATCACTGATAAAGCACTCACGTGGGTCCAAAGCCTCATTCACTAATGGGACAATCCCAGCAGACTAGAAACTGGGAAAGAAGCTGCCAGGCGAAATGGCCTGGGACTCCGTGGTTTCCGGCCCCTCCACCCCCACAGACTTTCCCTGGGAAGCCACAACTGACAGCCAACTTCGTTGTGTATGAACATGACTGGAAAATAAAAACTGCATTATTGCAATGAGGAACATCTGTGTGTATGTGACGCCCCTTTTTATTCAGAAATGATGTGTAGAAGTTTCATAATACGTGAGATAGTCCTAAAAAATGAGTTGTCTACACTGTTTTGTGCAAGCGTTTCAAGGCCATAGACATTCCCTTTGGAAGGTTACAAGCAAAGAGAGATGCTTCATTTGCCAGCCAGCCCTTTATTCCCTTGTTTGTGATCTGCTGGTATGGGGAGAAATGGTATGTATTTATACCCATGTGCACCATTTCTCTATCAGCCCTTGGCATGGGATCATAGAAACAGAGTGAGTCAGAAGGGGCCTCCTGGACCATCTAGTCTGACCCCCAGCTCCATCCAGCTCTGCTCATGACATGCCTACCATGTACACATCCAGATGGATTTATGGAAAAAAACAGGGATAGGGAAAAATGTAATAGGGGATGGCAAGGCATCCCAGTTACCTGATACCCTCTTACATAACTACAGGTTGCATCCATACTGTACATTTGTTCATGTAAAACCTGCCCCCTCCCTGCAAAAATATAATGTGTTAATCTTCCTTATTATCACTAGTGTACTTCAAAGTTATAGTGATCTGGGTCCAGCCATGGAATTTCCCTTCTGGCAAGCTTTTCTCATGCATGCTACCTCCAGTGGTCAAAAAGGAACTGAGGAACTGGGCGGAAGTCCATTCCCTATAGTCACAGGAAATGGAAGCAGGAGAGGCACCCATTCTGGCATACTGATCAATTGAAGTTTTTCCCTCTCTAGCCTTGCATGGGAGCACATGCCCATATGTGGGATGCACAGAGACCACAAAGAAGAATAAAAAGTATGTGCTGATTTGTTTGGCAAAGTCTGTCCTAGTCTGCGCTTTTTTCATTACTGCAGCATAGATTATCACAGTGGCCCCTTTCTGCAGCTTGCCTCTGCAGCCCCTTCTCTGATCACAGCCCAAGCACAGTGATTGCTCCTCTGGGGTGTTCCATCCCTTTCTTCCCTGTTTCTCCCACCCGGAAACCCTCCCATGTGACCCACCCCGGGCCCTCCTATTTTCAGTTCGTGTGCTGAGCCTCTTCTACTTGAGCTGGCGAACTCTCCCAGCCTGTCCTGCCCACTTCTGCTGACAAGCGCAAAGGTGCTCAGCTTCTACCGCAATCATGCCCATGCCATTGCTGGGAGCCAGACTGGGGGGGCGGGGGGCTCTGAGCAGCGAGAGGACCACAGAACAAGGGCCCAGGGGCTGCACGCTGGACAACCCCAATCTAGACCATTAGCATATTCTGTTCACATCATGGCCAACCAGCCATCCATGGGGACC